ACATTGTAATATTTCTGCAGGCGAACATTTTACCGTTGCTGCAATCTGCAGCAATGTTGCGGCAACATTTTGCATTATTTCGGCAATGTTGCTACAATATTGCTGAAATCTTGCTGTGCTGTATGGGCTGTGTTGTATGGGACAAAATAATTATTCACATGTTATGCTTGAAAATAGGTGTAAAGTAACAGTTCCAAAAATGAAAATTGGCGTAAGGCGCCGGAATCAGCCGAGCGAAAACGGTATCAAGTAAAACGCCGGCATGGCCGCTCTCAGGTTTCTCTCTGGGTATATCTAACGACCTAAACGCACCTATAAACTGGGTCTGTGTTTACTTGGCAGGTACTTCAGATAAATCAAAACATTTATCTTTGGTTGATAATATTGTTGTTCTACAATTATCTTAATATATGAACATCTGAATAATTATAAATTTGTGCCATGCAAGAAGTATATGGATATCTTCAAGACTTTCTGAAAGAAGTGTTTTATAAAACATTGTTTGGAGAATGTCTCTGTATTACCGACTGTAACATTTATTATCAAACTCATGGTTTAACTGCATTTATGTTAACATCTACGTTACATGTTCCAGTAAACACTAAGTAACGGTTACATAAGTTCAATATTATAATTTCCTACTCAACAATGCAAATTTAATATAACATACGTATTATATTACAATAACTGTGGATCAATAAACATTCATATTTTAACTGAAAAATTAGAAAAGTACATACGTTAGTTGCAATTTTACTTTTAGTTATTATCATATTTAGTTTAAGTGTTTTAGCACACCAAAATTAACAGATCAGATTGGTTAGTATAAATAATAATATTATTTCCATATATCAAATTATCATATATCCTTTAATAAATTACATAAATTAAATAAATAAATAACAAATGCTCGCGTGATTCAAAAATTAATCTAAATAAAAGGCTCTGAGCCGTAACCAGATATTCGTGTTAAAAAATTTGATTATAAGTAAAGTGTAAGTTAAGACACTTCGATCGTGGGTTCGACCATCCCCGGTAGATGAACAATAAAAAGTAAGGTACGGCAATAAATGAAAATTAATCAGTAGAATAATAAGAAGTATAGAAATGCAAAAGTATAAAATTAAGCGCATGTCAAATAACTGTTGCTACATTGAAAAGATTGTGAATGCATAGTTCGCAAGATGTTAAGTATTTAAGTCGTGTTTTAACTGCATCTTTCTTCATATCCTTTTGTTGCTAATCGAACGCGTATCGTTCAGTGCAGCGAAATTGACGTTAGATGACGCGTTGGATACCATATCGTGATTCTCGCGGGCCATTCGCTATGGCGGTGCTGCATCACCTCAGTCTGTGCTGATCGTGCAACAGGTGTTAGGTGCCGTTGTTTTTTGCGTGCGTTTCGGCGCCGATAAGCAACCGCGTCTGTTGAAACTGTAGTGCGTGCGTGCGTGTTACGTTTTGTGTGCTTTGACGTATCTCGGAACCTCAAAAGTGGATCAGCGGCGTCATACACGTGGGCGCCATCGAAAGATTTTTATTCCGGTTCTCTGTCCTCCTTGTGGGGGAAAGTTACGCAGGTGAGTACGTTATCACTCTTCGGAAGCACGCCTAGGGTCCAATTCGAACAACAGAATCGAAGTGACACGTTGCAGCTTGAAATTGCATCCATTTTTAAAGATTTTTTTTCATATTATTATATATTGCACAATTGTAAAACTACGTTATAAAAGAATTTCAATTAGAATAAATCGAAGAGAATTTCAAATGCAAATTTTGGAATAGAAGTAAAATAATGTTCAATTTAAATGATAAAAATTCTCTATAACGATATAATACTCGATAATAAGTCTTTGAATTACTTCAAATTGCGCTAATTTACTTTAAATTGAAATAATTTGGAGTTAAAAAGTGATAGACGATAGAAATATTATCGAAATTCACCAGTTTTTCAGAAGCGCGTTAAAGACTAAATTTAATGTTAGATCCAAAATGGCTAAATTCTTACCGAAGTAAAATGAATAAAATGAATTTAAATGAATTAGTAGCCAAAATTCGACATTTTTGGAACCAATTTTATAAAAATTAGAAATTAATGATTTTTTGTACATAAAAATATAATTTTACGAAATAAATTTCACTTTAATTTTTATGTTATTGTTGCTGTCCAAGCTTAAGGCTCATTATGTGCATATTGTACGCATATAACAATTTGTGACAATTTTTCGCGTAGATCTTCGCAATCAAGTAAACGAAAAAAATTGTACGAAGAAGGAAGTATGTGCTTGTTTTTTCGTACACTAAATATAATATTTATATTAGCTCTAATTATATACCATGTTTATAATAAATTTATATTTTTACGTGATACTATATGCAGTAAATTAAAATTACATTTTTAAATATTAAGAATTTATGAATATTTTAAGGATTTCTTAATAACATATTATAGATTGATAAATAATCGTAAGGTAGACGTGATTAAGTACTCAATAATAGTCGAGTTACGAACTACCAATTACATTAATTATTCTTTTGATTTATGATTAATGGTAATTCCATTTATGAGATAAGGTTTTTTTTAAATACGACGAAAATAACTTTCGTTGTTTTTTATTATGATAATGAGATATAGGGGAAGGAAAAATAGAAAATTAATGTTAATATGTGAGTTACATTTTGAATTAATATTTTGTGAATATTTTATTATACATATACACGGTTTTAAACGTAAAAAACATTTTATTGTTTATTTCCATTTTTTAACGTTTTTGTAACTATTATGGTTTTATGACATACAATAGTTTTTTAGTTTTATGACATTAATTGTTCTATTTAATGTACTATAATATATTATTTTATATTTTAAGTAAAAAAATGTAAATAATGTCAACGTAAAAAAATTGATTTTTAAAAAATTTTTCACAGAGTACTAAGATTAAAAAAATTTTACAGAATATCTCATATTTTGTTAGCGCTGGCAAAATTACTTTTCAATGATAATCAACTGACACAGCTTCCATAGGCCTTGGATCTTCGACATTCATCTTCCGAGATATGGAAAGTTTCCGAGAAGTGAATCAGCTCTCGTGGCACCCGGTTTCCTCGAACGTATTTTCTTGTACACATTCAATGGAAATGCAATAATCATATCATTATTTCGTATAAATACATACGTTACAATTCATTTATGTGCTAAAATTATATGTTTAAATTGAAACTAAAGTTTAGTTCATTCAAATTTACATTTAAATTAAATATTTAAATAAAATTTAAATGAAGTTAAATAATATACTAAAATACCAAATGAAAAGACATTTTTATAAAATTTAACAAACATATATTATGAAATTAAAATGGCACGTAGAGAAATAATAATATTTAATAATTGTCATAAACCTGTGTTTTTATTTTTTATATTTAATAATTGTCATAAACTAATGTGTAATGCTTAAAGTGATCTCGATGCGTGGCACTATGTTCAGTTGAAATATGTGTTTAATCAACAAGGAGATTACTATACTTATTATGTATTGCGGTTTCGTGGAAGCTTGAATTATATCTGTGTATTATCAATAATCGAATACGTCTTAATTAAGAGTATTTAGATACGCAAGTCAGTGTCGCAAAAGTGAACGGCTTGTCAGCCTGTATTCGCAAAGAACCCGTTTCTGTTCACGTAGGTGTTGTAAAAACATTAAACCTACGCTTGAATCGTACGCATTTGGTATGTTTAGGCTGACGGCAGAGAACAAACCGTAAACGCTTAAGTTTGTCTCATTGTCAGTCGTAAACGTAAGGCAAGGCAGAGAAAAACTTAAGTCGCGTACAATTGCCTTTCACGATTTAAGCCTTCTCTTCAATGCGAGTCTCAGAACCGCGATCGTAAGAATAACAGACTGTGATTTGTCAATTCGGTCAAACACATAAGAATTGACCAATAGTCGATTATTCTTACGACTACGACTCTGAGACTCGCATTGTATGTACAATAGATCCGGCATTAAATTTTTCTTTGTCTTGCGTTACGTCCATGACTAACAATAAGACAGACTTATGCGGGTTGTACATACAATGCGAGTCAGAGTCGTAGTCGTAAGAATAGTCGACTATGGTTGGTCAATTCTTATGACTGAATTGACCAATTACTGCCGATTATTCTTACGACTGCGAATTTGAGACTAGCACTAGCCACGTTCAGCAGGCACAACTGTTGAGTGAGCGCTCAACGATTTCTTAATATGATTGGCTGGATCTAAAAGTATTAACCAATCATACTGAGCGCTCACTCAACAGTTGTGTCTGCTGAACGCGGCCATTGTAGACTCTGCATTAAGCGTTTACGGATCATTCTCTGCCATCACCTTTATGCCGAGTCTACAATGCAAGTCTCAGAGTCGTAGAATAATCGACTGTAATTGGTCCATTTAATCAGACACATAAGAACTGACCAATCATAGTCGACTATTTTTACGACTACGACTCTGAGACTTGCATTGTAGAGGAAGCTTTACTAAAACTACGGCATTATCATATGAAATGACGAAGAGAAAATGGATGCACGAGATCTCTTTTTGTATTTTTGTGACGTTCTACAACTTTATCAAATATAAACAGAATATAAATATTATAGAATGACCACTATGTGTGTAAACCTTACAGTAAAATTGTAGTCTTTAGTAAAACTAAAGTTTTACTTTTCCGTAATATTTAAATTCTAACCTGGAATGTTACAGAAATACGTATAATAGAATTTCTCTTAATATTAAACGGACACAAAAACTATAATGGAAATGTAATTATTTAAATGGAGAAATCACTATTATAACACTCATTATTAGAAACACAAAATATTGATCTTTATTATTCAATTTATTAAATTAAATTATAATAAGTTAAATTATATTTATTATTGTTCTTATTTAATTAAACTAAACTATTCTATGCGTAAAATATTTTTATTAGTTTGTTATAGTTGTGATATAATTTATACATGTCTAGTAATTGTTTTATAATAAATTTTTATTTTACAAATACTATTGGATTCACATATGAATAACTTCCTGAACGGTAATTATTTATTTCCTCAACATAGCAAGTGGAAAATTAGAGGAAACAAACACTGGTAGGCAGTCACCTGGATAAGATACGTCTTATCGCCGACCTATTGTACAGGGTATTTCAGTAAAGGCTGGCGATCTCTTGTGGATACATAGAGTAGGTAAAATAGCTCCACAAGTTTCTATAAAATTTTTCTTATAACGTTTCTTTATCGAGATGTTTGCCATTAAAGTTAAAATTGCTGAAGTATTTTTCTTAAATAACTGTTATATCATAAAAAATGTGAAATTAAAAATGTACCGACTTAGGGCCAGTTTCACAAACGTGGATTACTGGAGGTTCGTTTAAACGAAAGATTAGAAGGGGGTCAAAAGTGTCCTGGATCCTTTCCTGGGTCTTCGACATGGAATCAGGAAAGCTATCACGTTGTTTTGAAGATCTTTATTAAATAGCAAAATAATTATTACAACTCATTAAGTTCTGAAGATTGATATAAAGTTATTTAAAAATAACGCTTCAGAAATTTTAACTTTAATGACAAATATTTCGATAAAGAAGTGTTATGAAAAAAATCGTATAGGAATTTGTGAGGTTATTTTCACCTACTTTACATGTTTACGAGAGATACCTTTATTGGAACACCCTGTATATGAGTCGTTGACTTTATAAATATGTTATTGCTATCAGTCTCGTAGTCCAAAATATGACAACGCTACAACATCATAAAATCTTATTGTGTTATTTTACTATGTAATCATGATCGTGTAATGCACAATTTACTTATTACTATATTTATTGTACTATACATATATAATATATTAGTAAATATTTACTTATTATATTATATACTATATATTTTATGTATATACTATATGTAACAAGAAAAAAAATTATTTCATGATAATATTATTATATTATTTTAGGAAGAATTAGAATTAATATAATATGCTGGAAAGAGAATTTTTATATTATATTAGAAATAGGAAATCTTTAATCTTTTACCAATTTTTATTTGGTAAATTAGATTGGATTAATATTTATAATTTACGATATTAATTTTATGAATTGCTTTTTTCGATATAATTAGATTGATAATTAAATCAGACTAAACAAATTTGCGTATATATATTGAATTTCTTGTGAATGAAATAAATATTTGACACGTATGAACAAAGCTATTCCAGGAAAGTTTTTTCCGACCATTTCGGTGACTTAATTTACGCAGGAGCATTTGTATTAATTTACGCGATATTAAAACGTTCAATTCGCGTGCAAGAACGGTTCTGTTAACGAAGCGCTTAAAAATGGGATGGTGTGTAATAGCGAGGTATCGTAAACCGATAAAGTGGTAATAAAAGCAATGGCGTTCCATATACACAGTGGTTTGAAGCACCCTCCTGAAAGTTCATCCTGACGCAGGGTTTATCCTAAAATAATTTATTCTGAAAACTTTCAAATAATAAGGGAAAAAATAAATAACATGTAATATATAAAATATATGTATAATGTAATATACTTT